TTTTAGCAGCCATGAAGAAGAGCACCGCACCGAAAGACCACGTGTCGGCAACCACCGGGTCAAACTCCTCCTTCTTCGGGTCGCCGTACACCTCGGGGGCCTGGTAGTTGGCGCCGTCTTTTGCCTGCTGCTCCGCCGCCACACACGGCTGGAAGCTGATGTCGGTGTCGTCGATGCTCCAGTAGATAACCGCCTTGCGAAAGTTGATGATCTTCAGGGCGTTGTACTCCTTTGCCGGGCCGAGGACGATGTTCTTTGGGCTGATGTCCCGGTGGACGATGCCAATGTCGCCCATGAAGTCCATGCCTCGGAGCAGCTGCCACCCGTAGACGGCAATGTCCAGCTCCTCCAGCTGCTTGTCAGTGGCCAGCTTCTCCAGGGGACCGTTGCTCGCGTAGCCCTGGATGATCTCGATGTTTTTCGAGTCGTCAATGAAGACGCCCCATGTGTGTGCAATGGAGGCATGCTTCTTGCCCAGATGACGCAGCATCTTCAGGTACTCGGCGTCGGCGGCGATGCCCACCTTAGACTCGTAGACGCGACAGGCCAGCGGAATGGTGGCGTACTTCTTGCTCTTCGTCTCCAGCAGCTGCGAGTCTTTGCCCTTCACGAGGACGGTCTTCCGGTCGATGGTGAAGTCCTCGTACTCTTTGTTGTCCTTGGTCGGCTGGGCGCCCTCGCCCTTCTTCAGCGCTTCTACCTGAATAGTAGGAGTGTAGGATTTAGAAAACGCATTTTTAAAAGCCTGCCATTGTCAAACCTCTGCCTTGAGGAGGTCCTTCATCTGTGTCAGCTTCTTCACATCGACGTCGACCTTGTACTTGGCGGTGATCTTTTCGTCGGGAGCCGCCTCCGGTTCCTTGTTTGAGGCGGAGCACTTATCGGTGGGCACGTTGCGAATCACTTTGCCGGCCTCCTTCTTCGAGGTCATCGAAGCGTTCGGGTCGGCGGCGATGCTCGTCGCCATGCTGTGGTCAAAGTACGGCATTTTTTCCACAAGAGGGTCTGTCTGTCTGTTGCTGTAATAGCTAGGGAAGTGACACGGCAAATAGATTTGATGATGGGATTTGAGAGCTTGGAAAACGTGAGGAAAACTGTCAACTGAGTCACACTGAATAAGCGGGGTTTGTGTGATGAGCTGTGATTTGAAGAGAGTTTTAGAAGGGGGGAAAGATTCGAAATCTATTTTGGATAATGCAACTAAAAAGTTCGAACATTGAAATGAATCTCTATTTCCTCCATTTTTGAATCTGTACCACTAATTGTCTTAATTTCATAAGAAGGATGCTAATGCGTTTTATTTTTCTAGTTTGCCTTTGGCAGTGTGAAAATAAAACTTAACAATCTTAGACACACAGAAAAGGAATGTCTTCCTCAGCTAATTATACGTTAGCAGCAGTGTGTCATCGACTGATCGGTGATGCAGTCAGTTCAAAGTGCCACAACATGTTTACTGTTTACAGATGCATGCTTTACCGCTGCAGCCGTTGCAGTTTTGAACTGTTGCCCTGTCTTCATCACCGATCACCACCATCCTGTTTGCACAAGGGTGGTGAGAGTGGTGTGCTGAATAATTAGTACAAGTCTGATTTTATCTGTTTCTGGCGGCAGCAGTGTGTGTGCTGCAACAGCAGCAGTTGTAACGAGGCGACAAGTGGCTTCTAGCAGCGCCAGACCAAAAGACCGTCCAATATCTTCATCATCTGCAAGCAATGATTTGTTGTGTTGTGCTGTGATTGCCGCTGAAGAAGCCTGTTTTGCCATCTTCTTCGTCTTCTTGGAAACAGTATGCTTCGAATGAAGCCACGATGAAGAAGATCAACTGTGTTTTGAGATTTGTACACCGGCAGCGGCAGTTTTATTTGCTGATTTTATTATTTTCTTGTTTTCTGCTGCCTGCCAGCTGCACAGATGACCACAACAACCACAGTGACTTCAGGCTGACCGTTCTGCACAACAATGACTTCCACACTCGCTACCTGCCCATCAACTCGAGGAACTACGCCGAGTGTAATCCTGAGGCGCTGCGACCGGACTGCGTCGGTGGCGTCGCTCGAACGGTGGCCGAGGTAAACGGGTAAAGTGTTTTGTTTGTAAAAAGCCTAAAAACATCGTACAACACCTCTGTTCAGATCAGACAACAAAGGGCTCTTGCCGCCACCGCCGGTGACGCTTTCCTCTACCTAAACGCTGGCGATCACTTTCAGGTTTGTTGATGTTTTCATTTGTGAAACAGGCACTGTCAATCAGCTGATGCACATTTTTTCAGGGCACCTTCTGGTACACGGTGAAAAAGTCCAAACTGGTTGCCGCCTTTGTCAGTCTGATGGGCGCCGATGCAATGGCCGTGGGCAACCACGAGTTTGACGACGGTCCCCAGGAGTTGGCCACCTTCTTTGACTTGGTCAGCCTCGCCGACTCCAACTGGCGACTGCTCAGCGCCAACATTGAACTAGTGAACAGAAGCAGCTCACCGCTGGCCGATATGATCCAAAAGTCGACTGTTCGGCGGTTTGGAAACGTCAGCGTAGCAATCATCGGCTACACCACACCGGAGACGGTGTACCTCTCAAAGCCTGGCAACTCAATTCGTTTCAGGGATGAAGTTGAGGCCATCAAAGAGGAGATCGCTCGCCTCGAAGCAGCTCACGACGATCTGAAGATCTTCATCGCCGTCGGTCACTCGGGCTACGAGCGAGACCAGGAGATTGCGGCAGCCATCCCTCAGCTAGATCTAATAGTAGGTGGACACTCAAACAGCTTTCTGTGGCCTAGAAAAGCAGGTGAAAATCTGCCTTCCAGTGAAAAACCTGAGGGTGACTATCCCACGGTGGTACGACACCCTGACACCGGCGACCAGACGCTGATAGTGCAGGCCTTTGCCTACGGAAAGTACCTGGGCAAGCTTGATCTAGTTTTTGACGACCAAGGACGGGTGGTGCACTTCGAGGGGCGGCCCATCTTTCTCAATGCCTCTTACCCTGAAGGTAAGTGCTGAAAATGTGTGTTTAGCTTTAGTGTAAGACTAATCAAAGCTTTTTAAAGATTTCGAAACAAAAGAACTGGTGAGAGCGCACAATGCCCGCCTGACTGCAGACATGAGCACGCCGATTGGTTTCACCGAAATCGACCTCGAGGCGCCGGACGTCTGTCGAGTGACGGAGTGCTCCATCGGCAATCTGGTGGCCGATGCTATGGCCTCTTCAGTGGAATACGGCCGAGCTCTTGCACAGCCAACCGGCACTTCCTCAGAGTTTGCTGTCTGCAACGCCAGCCTGGCGCTCGTCCTCGGCGGCAACATTCGCAGCAGCATCATCAGCGGCAACATCACCTACGCTCACATTCTCTCCACGCTGCCCTTCACCAATCAGGAGGGCGCTATCTGGGCCAGTGGCCGCCTGCTGCTNCACGGCCGAGCTCTTGCACAGCCAACCGGCACTTCTTCAGAGTCTGCAGTGTGCAACGCCAGCCTGGCGCTCGTCCTCGGCGGCAACATTCGCAGCAGCATCATCAGCGGCAACATCACCTACGCCCACATCCTCTCGACACTACCCTTCACCAATCAGGAGGGCGCTATCTGGGCCAGTGGCCGCCTGCTGCTCGATGTCTTTCGCCACTCTGCCGCCCTCTACCGTTGGGGTGGCTTCCTTCAGGTGTCCTCCCGTCTCAGAGTCACATATCAGCAGCAGCAGCCGTCGAAAAGTGGCGATCACCATCATCACCAGTCGCTAGTGCTGAAGAAGCTTGAAGCTCGGTGCGGTAATCACCCGTGGACTGAGGTGTCTCCGGATGGTCTCTACCATTTGGCCATCAACACGTACCTCTCCAGTGGCGGGGACAACTACACGATGCTGATGGGCAGAAACTGGACAGACTACGGGTTCAGTGATGTTGACGGCCTCACCAGGTACATTAAACGCTTGGACAATGTTACTGTGGGCATTGAGGGCAGAATTACGGTGCTCTCCACAGAGGCTAGTGGAAGCGGAAAATCGTCGGCTGCAAAACTGTNAGGCAGAATTACGGTGCTTTCCGCAGAGGCTAATGGAAGTGGTAAATCGTCGGCTGCAAAACTGTGGAACACATTGGTTAACTTTGTTGTGGCAGCAGTTTTGATTTTACAGTTGATTTGAGTTTTCAAACGATTTACAATTTCATATGACTATTTTTTGAAAACACATTTTTACATACGCATGAGTAAAACAAAATTATTGATTTTTAAAAGTTAAATAAATACAAACATAAACTTTGCAACTGTGTTTATTTATAATTTGATTATTGTTTAGTTTTTAAATTGGCATAAAAATAATAGCACTAAAAATTTGTATCAATTGGGTTTGTATGAAAAGAGTTAAAAATATTTTAAAATTAAAATCAGTTGTTAAAAATCTTCTGAAACTGTGACGCCGTCTTTTTCTTCAAAATTAAATTGACCATCATTATCAGCTGCAAACTTTTGAACGAGATTAAAAAACTGTTCGCCGTAATGTTTTAACCCACATAATTTTTCAGCAATGTCAGTAATGTTACAAAAATCCAAATTATTATTTCCAGTTTTAACTGATTCAGCAACCTTCTCAACCTGTTCGCTGTGGTCAGTTTGCAAATCTACCAACATTTCAAACGTTTTTGTTGAGTAACCTTTAACTTTGTTGATTTTCAACTGCTCTTCAGCAATGAGTAATTCTAAATATGGTTCGATTACTTGGTTAAATGACTGCAAAAATAAAATTATAAAGTTATTTAAAAGAAAGTTAGTGAAACAAACAAAAAATACCGAGTTAGAATGCATTTTTAACAAGTAACCAAAACAAGCAGCCGATTTTTGAATAACATAAATTTCATTTTTGTACTCTGTAATTAATTCTTCTAGTTCAGATATGATACTTGCAGACAATTGATAATTTTGTTTGTTTGAAGCTTCTAAAGTTTTAAATTCAAGCAACTTTTCTCTATCAACAACAGTGTGTCGAATGTTTTTATACTCATATTTAATATGAACATGTTTTTTCCAACTGCAACCACACGAAATGCACGGACCAACTTTACCAAAATTTTCAGGAAATGCTGTGCATTTTTTTAAAAAATTTTGACCTGCAAAACAAATATTAAATATTTTTTAAAACAATTAAAATAGTTAATATACCTTTTTTTAATTGTTTAACATTTTTGACGGGACATTCTACACAACACAACGATTTGTAATTAAATTTTTGTTCGTTATCAACATTTATAATTTCAACACATTTTTCAGAAGTGCAAACTGTATTAGGTAGTTTTAGTGGAATTACTTTAACATGTTCGACAACAACATTCAATGCATTTTTTAAGTCATCAATTTTATTAAAATCATCTTTAAGTTTAAGAATATTACTCTTTTGACGCTCAATGTTTTCAATGTTTAAAAAAATATTTTTTTGTAGTCGTACCATTGTTTCAGCAATTTCCATTATTAAATTTTGTGCCATGTTTAACTTAAATGTTAAATCCAAGTTATGAGGTGTTAATTTTAAAATATTTGAAATCATTTCTCTGGTGTTGATTGCCGATTTATTCCAACTTTCAGAGTAAGAGGTTTTATCAAAAGGGTCAAAAGGATAGTTACACTTTTTTGCAACTAAATATCGATATGCTTCGTTGTCAATAAAAAAGCAATTTTCGCCTGTTTTCAAAGTCAATTCCATTTCAGGGAAATCGTTTTCTAAAAACTCTCTCATTAGTACAAACCCATCACCAGCGCGATAGTAGGTATTGCGTCCAAAAGTAAAACAAATGATAATATTTTTACTAGCACTGCGATGTAGTTTACTAAACAGTTCACTTATGCAGTAACGAAATGCTGACACTTCACGAGTTTCATTTGATTTCATCAATATAACAATTCCATGCAATTGTTTGTAACCACGAAGATATTCAAGAATTTTATCAAAATTAGCTTTATCTGCTTCTAGGCCACGAGTATCTCCTAAACCTGGAGTGTCAATTAGACGGATCAATTTGTTATTAAAATAAAATTTGTAAGCCATTGGGTCTTGTGTAACAGATTGTCCTTCACTAAACTCTTTTATAATTTCACCAGAAACAATTGGAAATTCTTCACCGGTATTATAATTATAAAGCATGAATGATGATGCAATTAATTCAATAAAAGTTTGATTTGAAGCTTCTTCTATATTCGCAAACTTCACATAGTTAGCAAATGCATTAATTGTGGTTGATTTGCCTGTTCCAGTACCGCCCATAAGTAAAATGTTATATTCAGGCAACTTTGGGGTTTCCAGTTGTTCAAAATTTTCAACATTTGGATCAATGTTTAACTTTTTTGTTTTATCTAAAATTTCATTGTATGGTTCAAAGTTTTGAGAGCTAGAATATTCGGTTTTTGAAACTGCATTAGAAAAATAAGGATCAATCTGAGAATCAAGTTTTGCAAAACTTGTTGAAGAAATTTCCATTAGTTCATTGTTTTGTTGATTTTGTCGAATTTCATTTTTATTTGTTTGAAAAATATTTGGTTCTCCAATATCTAAAGAATCAAAATCAAAATTGTTTTTTGAATCAGGATTTCCAAATAAATTTACAATTTTTGATTTGCATGAAGTAAATGATTTGACAAAAAATGTTTTTGTTTTTGAAAGAAATCCCATTTTAAAATTTATGTATTGCAGTCTTTAAATTTATTTTTTAAAATTTAAACAAGGTATTAGATTTTTAAATGTAGTGATTCAAAAAGCATTTAAAACGTTTTAACTAATAAATTACAAAAACAAAATTATTACTAATATATTTTTAGCTTTTAACTGCTGTTTTATATAAGAAAAGATAATCAAAACTTTGTAGCGTAGTAGTGCAGCTCGGTGCTTGCTTCTCTGAAAGTGATGATGAAGGGAGAAGCCAGATGTACAGACAAAAGCAGAAAGAGCATTTGTGTGGGCTGAAGCCCCAGCCACTACAAGCCAGCTACAAGTTATTTGTTTACATGTACATTAACAGATTTGCAAGCAGATAAGTTTTTTGTTTTTTAAGCAATTTGTTGTTGTTTTTATTTTAAACAAAGTGAAAAGTTTTAGTTTTTTAATATTAGCTTGTTTACAATAACGCATTTTTTATTTTGTAAAACGATTGTAAAATTGTTTTTAATAAAAAAACACACACAAATTTATATTTTAAGAATATAAGCTATTAAAATTTATTTAAAGCAACAATTAGCTAAATTGTTTTATAGCAAGCAAGGTTTTTAATATTTGTACTTATTCTCTCAATAAAAATGGTTTGTTACATTTAGAATTAGTTTAACCTGACATTGTAAATTTTAATAAAATTTTTTTAAACTTAATAAAATGTTAAAAAGTTTTTATCAGGTTTTTTCCAAAGTAAGTATTTTTGAAAACTTTAAAGTAAAATATTTTTGCTATCAAACAAATTTTTTATTTAAGCAATTAACAATAAAAAATAAAACAGTTACCAAGAATGCAACTTTTAGTTTTGCAAAAGTAAAAAGTTTGCTAAAACTTTTAATCAGTGATTAATCAGTATTTTTATGACTAAAACATGACTAAAATATTTTATCAATATAAGTTTGGCAATGTACATTTTATTTTAAGAGTTTTTTCTTAGAAGTGCTAATTACAAGTAACACAAGTTTTGCAATTTTAGATTTGTAACACCCCTGTTCTGATTTGTTTATTACAAAAAATATATTTGTAAACTTAAAATTAAAAAATTTAGTTTTTAATATTATGTATGTAAAAACAAAAACTATTTTCACAAATAAAAATTTAAAAACTAGTTTTATATTGTCAAAAATTTTATTTGAATTTTTGTTTTTAACTAATATAATTTAAAAAATGTTAGTTTAAAAAATTACAAAAATATTTTTTATTTGTATAAAATTATTTTTGTTTACTTAAAAATTGTCATTGCAAATACAACAATTATAATTATTAAAAACATTATTTAAAACAAAAAAATTAAAAAATGTAACAAAAATGTGTTTTCAATAAAAAAACACAGTTTTTAATATTATCTTATTTTAAGAAATCAAATAAGCTGATACTGCATTAGAGTTATATGAAATCCTAATTTGGGTAAACTTTTTTGATAAAACCTTACTTGTACACAACTATTTTTCTACATTTACATGTTTTGTTATTTTGTATAAATGCTGACTAAATGTTTGTAAAATGTATTGTACTGATTTGTGTTTTAACTAATTACAAAAATTACAAAAATCAAAAACAATAAAAATGAATTTTTTTCAAGATGTGAAAGTTAAAGAAATCAACATTCTTTTATTGGGTGAAACAGGTGCTGGAAAAAGTACAACTATAAATGCACTTGCTAATTACATGAAATATCCAAGTTTTGCTGATGCATCTGATGAAGAATTTTTAGATTTGATTCCTTGCAAATTTACTCTTGGTGACGATGATGGAAAAATGATTCCAATTTGTTCAAGTAAATCTGATCCTAATGAACGAATGGTTAGTGGTAAATCAAGCACTAAAGACCCTAAACCTTATTTGTTTAAACATAAAAGTTGTCAAGTTCGTTTAATTGATACTCCTGGAATTGGAGATACTGACGGAATTGACACAGACATGGAAAATTTAGACAAAATTCTTAGTTATTTGCACATGCTTGATAAATTACATGGCATTTGCATTCTTATAAAAGCAACTGAAACGCGAATGACTGATTTTTTTAAGGTAATGAGTATTTTAAAACTATTTGCATTTTTTTATAAAAAAATTATTTGCAGTACTGCATAACTGAACTTCTCTCTCAATTGCATAAAAGCGCTTGTCAAAATATTGTTTTTTGTTTTACTTTTAGTCGAAACTCTCATTACAGACCTGGAGATGCATTTTTTACGTTGAAAAACTTTCTTCAAAAAGATTTGCCTGAAGTTAAAGTTGATTTAAAACCAAACGTTAATTGTTTTTTTATTGATAACGAAGCTTACCGTTTTTTGTTGGCTAAAAAAGCAAATTACTCTTTTCCCCCAGGTCAAATAAATGATTATCAAATTAGCTGGGATAGATCAGTCAATCAAACGGATAAAATGTTAAATTTGATTGCAAATATACCTCCTCATGATCTTGAAAATACAATTTCGTTGAATAAAACTCGTAAGTTTATTTATCAAATGGCCGAANCCCAGGTCAAATAAATGATTATCAAATTAGCTGGGATAGATCAGTCAATCAAACGGATAAAATGTTAAATTTGATTGCAAATATACCTCCTCATGATCTTGAAAATACAATTTCGTTGAATAAAACTCGTAAGTTTATTTATCAAATGGCCGAACCTATTGTAGAAATAAGTGCGCAAATAAAAGCAAATATTGATCACATTAAAAACAAAGAAAATGAACTTCAAGATGTTACAAAAAACAAAATGGACTTGGCTCAAAATTTGAACGTTGATATTGATGATTTAGTTGCTACTCAGCTTCCATATCCGGCTACTGTTTGTTCTGCTGACGAGTGCACTGATGTCATTAATACTGACCGTGGTCCACAAATTAACTATAAAACTCGATGTCATCCTCATTGCTACTTGACTGGTGTGACTGTAAATGTTATTGGTAAAAACATATTTTTATTTTTAAAAATTGAAATAATTTTCCTTGAAATCTAATATTATTGTTTTAATGTTTAGGTCATCCAATACTAAAAGACTGCGCAGCTATGACAGGAACAGATTGTCATGAGTGTGGCTGCTCCTATGAGGTGCACAAACATGTTGTTTATGAGTATGCCGTCGTAAAAAAAAGTGTTATTAATGTAAACCAACAGCGTAAAATTGATAATGAGCAGGATGCTATTGATCAGATCAACGACGTCCTTCAACAAACAAAGCAAATTAATCAAGAGCTCACCGATGAAATTAATACTATTCAAGAAATAAGTGCTAAGTTTGCTTACATTCTCATTGAGCATTCAACAACAGTTAGTTTTTATTTGATATGTTAAAATGCACTTTGTAATAACTTTTTCATTTTAGCCTTACAACAAATTTCTTGAACCATATTTGGAATTGTTAATTCGTGAAGAAAAGAAAAAAATGAGCAGTTGCAAAGGCTATTCTAAAAGCAAGCTAGACATTCTTGAGAACTTGCTGCAAACACACAAAGAACAGGTGAAAATTTTGGTCAAAGCTATCAATTCAAAGTCTCGCGATCCGGTAAGTATTCAAGAAATGGGAGATCTTGAACAACAACTATTTGGTCTTAAAAACAGTGGCCCTCAATTCAAAAAAATATTTAATCTTACAAACAGCAGCACATTGAACAACATAACAAACTCAGATATCACAATTAATCTTTAATTTTTTAAAAATTAATGTTATTAGCACATTATACTCATAAAAACTTGAACACTTAGTTAGTTTTAAAAACATTTATAGCTTATATTGCCTTCTTTGTTTATCAACTTGCCCAACTTACTTTTAGTTTCACATTAGTTTTTGTAACTGATAAAAACACTGTTAGATAAACTTTCATACTTTTTATTAAATAATAAAACGGTTCAATGTAATCAGTTCAGACCAATTAAAAATTTGCGTAAATTGACATTAGTCGTTATTGACATTTAACAAATGGTTCAGCTCACATTTTGGCTATAAAAAATAAAAACTACATAAAAGACTAATTAATTTGTCATTGAACACTTATTGTTTTTTGGCTAAAATGAATCATTTTTACTTTTCCACATTCTTTCTATTTCTTTTGTGTGATCTTTACTCTGCCCAGAATGACCCATTGTGTGGCACCAATGGGCCGCCAGCAGAGAAAGGGCGAATTGTGGGCGGTGAAGAGGTAGTGCCGCACTCTTTTCCCTGGGTCGTCTCTCTTGGCTTTATCAACAAGTTTGGCGAATACAAGAGCATCTGCACAGGGTCTCTGATCACCCCACAGTGGGTACTGTCAGCCGGTCACTGTGTTCGGGGCATTGAACACGCCCACAAGCCTACAGCTCTTCTCGGTAAGACCACTTTTTTTGAAATCTTTTGACCAGAACAAAACCCCTTTTTCAAAACACACACAGCTGCACACAGCATTAAACTGAAAGTGGCCGAGCCGCACAAAGAAGCCGTGCGCCTGGTTAAGTTTGTACGTCACCCGAAGTATGGCAACCACAAATCAAAAGATTTCAAGACGATGGTCACCAATGATGTGGCCCTCTACAAACTGGAGCGTCCGATGAAGCTGAGCGGCAATCCGCATCTGGGCACGGTCTGTCTGCCACCGCAGAACAGCACCTACGATGCTTATGTCGACCAGGTGGCCATCGCCACCGGCTGGGGCATGACCGAGGACGGCAACTTCCTCAGTCAGTCTTCGGTGCTCAGAAAGGTCAGCCTGCCCATGGTGTCGACAGACTTTTGTGCAAAGGAGTATCGCGTAAAAAAGAAGGGCAATGAAAAAGAGCTTAACACTCTGCTTTGTGCTTACTCGCCTGGAAATGGCACGTGTCATGTAGGTGGTCGTCAATGGGACGGAAAAATGAGCCTGGTTTTCTAAAAAACCGTTTTTTTCTTGATCAGGGCGACTCGGGTGGGCCATTAATGATCCGGGCAGGCATCAACAATCTTTCTGGTG